TCAGAGTACTCTCCTGCTGTGCCCTAGATTGAAGGCACAACTGAATTCAGGGACAACACTGGCTTTCCTAGTGCTGGAGACACTGATAGATCTGCCTAAATCTACTTACAGAGGAAATCTTTGCCTGAAAGATAGGACACAAACATTACCTTTCTGTAGCAGTGTCCCCGACTATGGCTCTCCCAGTCCCAACTGCCTGGGAGAAAGGGGAGAAGATGTCCAGGACCATCACCTGACCAGCTCCGTAAGCACAAGCTGGAAAGATCTTTTAATGCAGAACCTCACTCCTTGAGAGGGTTCCCCACTGACAATGGTGGTCAGAAACAAGGCTGAAGAATCCAGCTATCAGGGGCATAGTCTTCAATTATCATTAGGTTCCAGTCCTTTATGCATTAGGGTCATGCCCTTTACTCACATGACTTTGCACTTGCCAATTTGCTGTAATTTACACAAGTAAGTCTCCCAAAATGCACAGGCTGTCAATCTCTTCAAGTAGAACAGCATCACCAGTGAAAACCTTCAGGGTCTAGTCACAGGAGATGCAGTATGCCCAAAGCAGACTCAACTCAAACTTAAGCGGTGTAGTTTTCATAGACTCTATATGGATGGATGCGTTCTTATAGTTCACATTTACTTATTAAAAAAAAAAGGAAAGAAAAATAATAACCAAGAGTGTCTCGATCATGGCCAAAATCCAGACTTGTATTGTGCCAGTCTGCCTGCATATTGTATAGTAAGAAGCCCAGTGCTAGTCAGACCAATGGGAAAGTCAATAGGAGGCAACATGGTACAGCAGGATGATACAAGAAAAAAAAAATTGAGGTGGGAGAGTGAGATACAGCAAAGCATGCTACAGAAGAGGACAAACAAAAGAGTAAACACAGAGGGAAGCCGGAGGGCAGAGACAAAAGATAACAAGAAAGAAAGAAAGAAATGAGTGGGAAGTTAACGAAGACGAAAGACATGAAGGGAAATAACATACCACAGGTGGGGGGGTGGAAAAGAAAAGACAGTAACAGAAGATAGACATATACAGGGAGCCCTTCCTGCCAGAAACTGCTTCTTATCAAGCTTAGACAAGAAATACTGCCAAACGAAGAGCTGAATCAAGCATGGAAAGTTCAGATCACCTGAAACTTCTGAAGTCAGATGAAAGAAACTACATTAAAATATGAAGTAGTGAGCTTATGAGGATTTCATCCCAGTGTACACTGCCCCTGTTCTTCTGTAAGAGAAAAATAACTTGTCTGGTTCAACAATAGTTGAACAAGACATCTATTTGCAGAAGAACTGGGCCCACTTGTGAAAGAACATTAACTGATTAGGGACTACTTAATTAAGTACAATTCAGAATCAAGTTAAATAACTGTTTTTAAAGTTCATTAGTCTGTATTACACTCCACACAGTATAGAAAAGCATGAGAGAACTACTCCATTCAAAGTACAGAAAAAGGAGATCCCTTTGCCCGCCAGACACACACCTCAAGGTGTTTTAGACAAAGGATTTGATAAACTTTCCCACAGAACGCAGGCAAAGCGGTCAAGCACAGTCCAGTCTGAATTTAACTCGGCACTTCTGCTTTGTTTGAAATGCATTGTTTTGTATCACCCAGTACTAACACATCATTCGTGAAAGAGAATAAGGATGACCATGAATCCACTATGCAAGAAGATAGCTGTGGTGTACCCTCTGCTCTCAGAGAAATGCAAAACAGAAATTTAAGCTTGTCTACTCAGAAGATGAAAAGACAGACTAAAAACTAGTAATGAAAGGGACCCCTATCCTACAGCATCAGTGATTACTATCTGCTTAATTGAGTCACTGATATCATGAAGAAACATTTTCTTGCTTCCTTATCATAAGTATCTCAAAGCCAGCAGCATGCTATAAGATATATCACAAAAACTTCGATAATCACAACTTGCATATCAGCAAAGATGAGTGACCAACATAGGTATATCACAAAAACTTCAACAATCACAACTGGCATATCAGTAAAGATGAGTGACCAACACAGGAACACGTAATTGTCCCATCCTTATACTTACCTTGCACTGTCAATTTTCTATAAACAAGTCTATTGTTCCAAAAACAAGGGTGTGGAACCTTCTCACAGATAGCTATCTTAAGATATTTAAGATTAAAAATTGATTCATATTCAAGAACAACAGATTCCCAAGACACATCCTATTTATAAAAAATACAGAAATGCGCATACATTTGATTTCCTATTTCTTTTAAGACACATCCACCTGTTTCTTAAAATGTTTGTTATATTTTTGGTTAATTTGCGCTAAAATTTCTTTTGCCATTACTACTGCAACATATAACTGACTTTGCATTGATAAGACATCACACGTTGAGACATTCCTGAGAAAGTAAGAACAGGGCTCCCTCACAACTCAGCCAGTGGTTAGATGGTTGACATATGGTCAGTGTTTCACTGGCTCAGTCACAGGTAAAGATGGAGTCAGAAATTGTACCTCAGGTTTCTCTTAAAAGTCTTGGAAATTCCATCATACAGAAGCTGTCTTCGAACATCCCATCACAAAGAGGAATGAGTACCTGTTCTGCATGTACACCCTTGGATTAAGGTTGCCATTGCAGATTTCCTGAAGTCATAAAGAATGAACACTTCAACTGCTCAAATTCTCATATATGCGAAGTCTTCTCCCTAGCCCAAGCAAAAGTGGAGAAGTTTCCATTTCTAGTTCCCACTTATCAGTGTTCCACTGTTTTTTCCCCCCTTGTTCCGTTGCTTCCTCTTTCCATGGCTTATTAAGAGGAGATTCTTATTTCCTTCAAATTCTGAACTTGAATTACAGCCAGAGTGGGGTACAGCCTCCTAGCAAGATCAAACTGGGAGTGTCGGGCTCATAGAAGACAAACATCTACATGCAGGGGACTAAAATCCTACTAAACCTATTCCTAAGATTTAATACTTATTTTTAAGATTTGGTCTGTTTTTTAAGAGCAGTATCACAAAAGATCTTAACATTACTCAACAGAATAATCCCTACTTCCATTATAGGACAACTGACAGCCCTCTCTCTCAAATACATATCTATACATACACCTCAGGCATCAGGAAATGTATGTTCAAGCAGGTTCCCAAGCCAAGTCTGAAAATTTCTAACTCAGTTCTTCCATGATATTCCCACACAGCACAATTTAATCCGCACTGAGAGTTCAACAAAAGAAGTGGGTCTGCACTAAGAAAAACATCAGTGAAATACCAGAGGAAGAGACATGAACCCAGACCACTGGTTAGTGTATTTCATGATGTAGAACCTTAGTCATAAGAAAAGCCAATGCTGCTCATTCCAGAACTAGTTATTAGCTCAGGTACACAGATTGCGCTTGCGTGATCCCTCAGTCTGCTTAAATCTGTCTGAGTACCTGAAAGTACACCATCAGGGTAAAATCTGTTCTTTGAGTAAACTTAGTGGAATTACTTAACACCAGTATAAACAGGATGCCAATTTAAAATGGGAATTTGAGAGAGTTTAAATAACCAAGTAAACTTTATATATGTATAACTGGGGGTGTTCAAGACCCTTTCTACTTAAAATCCATAAGGATCTCTAACTGAAAAAAAAAAGTAGTAATTTATTTTCTTAGACTAACCCAGACACACAAAAAAAAAACCCACCAAGGATGAAAATGTCCATTTCTAAATGCTAGCGCATTGTAGAATTAGGTCAGAAATACCAGACATTAGCCTAACAAAATTAATGCTAAAAACGTTTCTTTCAGAATGATTAGCCTCTGACACAAGTAACTGCTTTACCCTTTTCATGTAATGCTTCATGAAATTAGTTATTAGTGGATCTCTTGGTGGATTGACAGCTATGGAGATTTGTGCCCTGAATTTCTCAGGGGGTAAAAAAAAAAAAAAAAAAAAAAGAGAAAGACTGTTGGTTGGCTAGATACGCAGCTGCAGAAATCATTCTTTACATTGACCTGAATTATTCTGCCTTTCGCCAGCATTTTTTACAGTCCATATTTGCTTAATCTTGATTAAAAAAATATATAAAATGGGTCATATGCACAGAATAATTACTTTTAGGAAAATAAACAAGCTTACACACCACAAATTACACAAACGTGTTCATAAATAGAAAACGTCATATCAACCTAATTTTTCCAGGTAAATTAATCCAAAGTTACCTACTTACTGGTATCCAATTCCTTATTTCATGAACAAACCTCACCTCCCCACAGAAAAGTCACATGCAAGTTTTGAGTGCATAGGGCTACTGAACTCCACTAACTATTTCAAGATGGTGTTTAATATAAACAGTGAAATTATTATAATGTAATTCAATATTACCCTTGAGTGTGACAGCCTTTTCAAAGTTTTAATAGAGAATTAAAACAAAATTAGCTTTCATGATATATTTTCAAGCACAACGCTAGTATACTATTTTCAAAGAAACACATCTCTACACATTACTTACTGCAGTACCATCCCTTTTTTGAAAGATCACTTATACCAGCTGCTTTTAAAATTCACCTTCATGTTCCTGTCACTTTACAATGTATTAATGTAAAATTTCCCACCATCCCCTCATTAAAAACTAAAATATCTAGTAAGATACATAGCTAAATAACACCATTAAAAATTGAAAACAGACTAGACAAGCGTACTAGAAAAGGCAGCAAGTGTATATTTAATCAGTATAAGCAATAGAAATTCAAGTTAAGGTTTTTATACCACACAAATATACATACATACGCAGCATAATATTAATAGTCATTCCCCTCCAAATAATTGCATTGCTGAAAAAAATTATTTTAAACACATAAGAGTGCACGTATTGAAAATGAAAAAAAAAAGTAATTCCATATACATTTTATTTTAAAGTATCACCATATGCCAATTCTATTTTTCTTACTAAAATTACCTGTACTTAATACAGTCTTAAATACTAATCATGACTATCAAGTTAAAAGTGTAGCAAACAAATATTAAAAAAAAAAGCTCAAGAGTACTTACCAAATTATGATTAGTTGAATTAGAATCATCTTCTGGGAACGGGATGTAAACAGCTAAGGCCACACAATTGGCAAAAATAGACAGTAGTATAAATATGTCAAATGGTCTGGAAAATCTTATTAAGGAATTCATGAATTATGCGTATCTACAAACTTTCAAGTCTAGTTCTCCTTACAGCATCAACACTTGTAAAACAAGACTTACTTTTAAGGCAATCTTTTGACTGATAACTGTGACAAACACTTCATCACCTTTAGTTGTATCACTATACCATATTATTTTTCATCATAGTGATCTTTCAATGTCCTCTTCTTTTTGGAAAAAAAAAAAAGAAAACTATTAGCCTTGCTGCCACAGAGCACTTTATATTAAATTCCAGAGATTAATACAATTACACACTCTTAAATCAACACGTGGGTCATCATGATGGGTAAGGAATACTTATTGAGCTGTTGTGTCCTTATAAGCTCACATAAGTCTCATTAATGTTAACCAAAATGTGTTTGTCCAAAGGAGAAAAATCATTTGGGATCTAGTTTGTAGTAGGATATGAGAAAGAATCCCTGCCAATCACAACTATTCTCCTCTATTAGACCTGGAAAGCTGTACAATGGACACAGGAAAATTCTGAGCCCCTCTTCATTTCTCTGACAGCTGGACTCCTGAACAACTTTGCTTTGGCCAGGACAGATAAAAGTTTAGGTGAGTAGACTGGGGAACAGAATATCATTACTGGCTTGGCAGCCAGGCATACTGAGAGGCTATAGGCTTTCACACTGACAATAGCATGAATTGCAGCTACGCCTTTTTATACTGCATCTGGATGACAGCAGTTGAAATCTGGAGACACCTTTTGTCTCCCAGAAAGAAAAATATTTCTTAAAATTCATGCCTATGAAATTCACCCTTCAGTTTATCATTACTTTGTGTTTACTCCAAAGTGTTTCATTATTTTCTTGTAACCACAAACATGGAGGTACCCAGATGAACCTACTGGAATATTGGAAAGGGAGTATTTTGGGCTTTAGCTATGAGTTTTGACATCCTTTCCTTAATTCAATGCATAGCTTCCTGATACACATCCATAAGAGTCCCATAAAAGAAGAGTACTGAATATACTCGATGGTAGAGCACTGAATATACTCACACCCAATATTTTCGTCAGTTTAAAATATTTTTCCTGGAAAAAAAAAAAAACTCCTACAAAGCCCATATGCCCAATAAGATCTGTTAAATTTTGTTTGTTGTCCTACAAAAAAATTGTCACCTCAAGGGCTGAGTTTACATTCACAAAGCCCAACAACATCAACAGCTGCTATGTTGTGTACAAAAAGTTACAACACACATCTTAACATGCAGCATTCTCCAGACTGAAATGAACAAAAGATATCAGCGTAAGATTGGCAACCTTGTTTTATGATGTGCTATAGGGACAAATTCTTCCCTGAGTTATTCCACTCTAGATCCATAGTAATTTCATTTAACTGACCTTAGCCAAGGAGAGGCCAATTTACTGAAATTAGTTGGACTTCTACCAGTTTAACTGAAAGAAGAATCTGTTTCACTATCTTTAATTTGCAATTGAATAATGTTCAAAGAACTGAAAAAAACCCAAGCCCTATAAATGAGTAACAGTTCCTATTGCCAGGTTGGCTGTTCTGTTTTAAGTAACAAAATGACTTTTACTTCAGTAATCTACTCTCCTGAACAGCTGTTTCCCATTGCAGGGATGTTGCCATGGCTAACAGGCTAACATTTACCTCAACAAAACTATTTTCTATTTCAAACCTTTTCTTGAGAATTAAATAATATACCACATCAACACGCTATCAGTTTCGCCAAACAAATCCACATACTTCCACATCACAACCACTGAACTAAAGATAAAGCAATCCTTCCCAGCATACAAGTTATCATGAATACAGGCCAGTGTATCTGATCCCCTGTCTACAGATGTACACGCTTCCAAATACGTTTAGTAGTAGACATATGTTGTAAAAGTTCAGAAGATTAATATCTCAGACACTTGTATGCACTTAGAGCGAGTCCCCGGCTTAACTAAAAATCTTCCCTACTTTTAGTACTCAGAAAAATAATCTTTTAAAAAAGATTCCTACATCTGACTAATTTGCCCTAACAGCAGTACATCAAACCACGATATAGAAGATACAGGCTTGACATCTGAGGTCATCTCCCAATTAACACTGCTAGATGCACTCCTATCCATTCAACCTTATTTGGAAGGGCAACAAAATGCAACACAGATTTGCTGGAATATAATGTAAGCTTGTAACTTCAAAAAAGTTCTGAAAATGTTCTCCCATCTCCTCCAAGAACAAAGAAACAGCTATGAGCTCTTCTCTGACTTTGAACTACTTCAGTAAAATGATATCCTATGTCACTATGACACAAATTAGGAGGCTATCTTTAACAAGAATTAAGTAAAATTAACTACCATCAACACTAACGACAGTTACCCACAGGTGCAAGTGAGCTAATGTGTTAGCTGTGATGCTGTAAGAGATACTGTAAAACAATCCCCTTGATACATTCAGAAAATGCAAGGAACAGATTGCAAAAAATAAAACTGCATCGAAGGATACTTCCATTCTACTAGACTAATGCAGGCTCTTCGTATTGGGTTGTTGAGGGATAAACAGAAAAGGGCACGGGGTGGCCGACTATTAGACGTATTACCCTGTTTTTTGCTCTTGGCATATTGCTGGCGTTTTCTTTGGGACAGAGATCCTACAGGCTGGGCTGTGGTGGTACTCATGTTTTGGGCAGCCTTTGCTTGTCTAGCAGCATCAATTGCAGCTTGCCAAGATAGAACAGTTTGCTTGGGTGGTGCTGAACTGTTTGACTGAATAGCTGGTCCGTCACCAGGGAGAGGAATTCTGGTGCTACTTGCATAGTTCGCCTCTGTGGGACAAAGGAAAAAATACTTGGTTATAATTTTTTAATGCTAAAATGTGTCACGATATTTCTGACGAAAAGATTATTTTAAGACCTCTTGGCAATGTAATGCTTCCATTACATACACTTGTGCTCTGTAGTGTATGTGCATATATATGCGATTGAACAGTAGCAAAAAATGCTCAGGAATCAGTATTATAACTTCAAGTTTAATGCAAGCGTCAAAACACAAACACTTCATGTTTTGATTCTTCCACTTCCTGCATTTTTTCCTAACTAGATGGCAGCTTTCCTGTCACCATGTTTATCCAATAAAACATAGCTACTCCTTAAGATCAACTGTGGTGTAGTACCTTAGCATTTACTATTTTCTCACTTCATTCTGGTCAAAAAAAATAGTTGTTTAAAATTCTTATGCATTGTTCAATTGAGAATAGCCAACACTGGGAGGGAGGTGGGTGGGGGGTGAGGAGTCCTGTAGGCAAGTGTAATCTTGCCCTATTCTGCATTCTCAAAGAAAAATGCGTGGATGCCTCCCCACAAATGAAAAATCCAATACTGTCTGCTGATAAACATGTTTATAAAGCACTGGTATATTTCACACTAGAAAGTAGAACCGTAAAGCCACTGTAAAGGGATAGGGTTTGGGTTTGCGTTTTCACAAGGATTTCAAGAATAAACTGCACCTTCCAAATAACAACAAAGTCCTCTTTATATCCAGATGACAGCAAGGAAGGCGAAACACCACCTCCTCGCAAGGATCCTTCCTCGCGAGCTCTTTGACTAGAGCAACAGAGTTTACTCCTACATGCACCTGTAGGAAGGAGAGACTCCTAAGTGGAATTCAAAACTTGAAGATGCCTCGGTTGGGGGGGGAGAAAAAAAATAATAAAAATGGAGGAACGGCACAATATACGTGCTGGGAATTAGGGTTGGAGGGCGGGATGACTGTGCCATGGATCTGCCCAGGCAAGAGAGGAAAACAGCTCCCCAGCGATCGCCGCTCGTCAAACAGGGGAGAGCCACAAAAATCACAGCCCTCTCTCTTTTTTTTTTTTTTTTTTTTTT